TATTCTCTTTGTAATCATCATCACCTGTACATCTTCTTCATCTAAGAATATCATCACCAGCGTGATTGAGCTCGAGCCTGGCCGAATAAACCGGTTCCTCACAAGTGGTGGACTGTGCTTTTCGTTCCCTCAAGTCCTCTCGCCCGTTCTCGCTGGAGCTCCGCTCGGGTCGTCGCATACAACCCCCTGCCATGGCGGCCCAAGAAAACCCTGGCCCATCCAACGTCGCCGTCTTACTGCAGCCACCGCCACCCGCTCCGCCCAACAACACTCGCCTGCGTGATCCACCTGTGTTTTCCGGTCTCCGAGGCGATGATGTCGAAGACTGGATCAAGAACTACGACCTCATCAGCGATTTGAACAGGTGGGACAATCCACACAAGTTGCGCAGCGTCCCATTTTACTTGTCCGATGTTGCGAAAACTTGGTTCTGGAACCACCACCCGGATCTTCCCGACTGGGACACTTTCGAGCAGCAAATTCGTCAGGTATTTGGTGCCCCTGCAGTTCGCACTGAGGCAGCAAAGAAGAAACTCGCTCAACGCACGCAGCTGCCGGGTGAATCTTACACCTCTTATATTGAGGATGTCCTTGCACTGTGCAAGCGCGTTAACACCGGCATGTCTCAAAACGACCAAATACGCCACATTATTAAAGGCATTAACACCGTCGCCTTTAACGCCCTCGCCACGCAAAATCCTGCCACCACCCAGGACGTGATAAGCATCTGTCAGCGACTTGACGAGCTTCAGTCTCTTCGCCTTTGCTACGATGCCACCGACGTCCGTTTGCCTGCACCCCTCGACTTGCGTGCGCTTATTCGCGACATCGTTCGTGAAGAGCTCAACGGCCGCTGCTCTTCCTGTGCTGCAGAAGTTACTTTACCTCCTGAAAAAGATAGCTTGCGAGACCTGATTAAACAAGAGATCGCCTCCGCATCGCGTGCGACGTGTTCCAACAGTCCCTGCGTGCGCCAGACGCGCACGTACGCCGAAGTTGCCGCGCTCTCTGCCGCACCCACCGTTTCTGTGTCTACAACAGCAGACCATAACGCCCTATGCTGGCTTTCATCGCTGAAAAACTTATCTGGTCGCCTTGGTCGCTGGGCGCTTCGCTTACAGGAGTATGATTTCGATGTCGCCTACAGATCTGGGAAGAAACATCAAGATGCTGATGCTCTATCGCGCTGTCCTTTGTCCAGCGGAAGCAATTCACCATCGATACTCCAAAACAACAGCACCTCTCCAATCGCAGCGCTAAGTTCATCACCTGCCACCCTATCCGTCCTTGTTTCACAACAACGTGTCGACCCATACTGCCGCACCATTGTTGACCGCTTGACCGGCTCTACTACCGCTCCAAACGCCAGACTCCGTCGACAACTTAAACAATTTAAGCTTGTCGGTGATGCTTTATGTCGCTACATTTACCACATCGATGGCAACAAGTGGGTACCCGTCATCCCACGTTCTCTGCAACGTGAAGTTCTGGAAGCCTTTCATGATGATCCAACCGCTGCTCATCTAGGCTACCACAAGACTTACGACAAAATATGAAGTCGTTTTGGCCTGGCCTCTCTTCAGCCGTCGCTAAGTACGTCGCCTCCTGTGTCCATTGCCAACGGCGAAAACGACCGACAACTGCTCCGGCTGGCTTAATGCAACCTCTTCCTTGTCCCGCCTCACCTTTTGAAGTCGTTGGAATCGACTTGTATGGCCCTCTCCCTATATCATCCAATGGGAATCGCTGGATTGTCACGGCAGTCGACCACCTTACCCGCTACGCAGAAACAGCTTCTATACATCTGGGACTGCCACTGAGATCGCCGATTTCTTTCTTCGCCACATCTTTTTGCGTCATGGAGCTCCACGCATTCTCCTCAGTGATCGTGGCAAAGTCTTCCTAACTTCTATTGTCGAGCAAGTTTTGCGTGCCTCGAACATTGTTCACAAGACCACTTCTAGCTACCACCCGCAGACCAACGGATTGACTGAACGGTTTCATCGGACCCTATCGGACATGATCGCCATGTACATTCACCCCAACCACACGAACTGGGATGCAATTCTACCCTTCGTGACATTCGCCTATAATACGGCTGCTCAACGCACTACCGGGTTTTCTCCATTTTTTCTCGTCCATGGTCGCTCGCCGAGTTTCGCTCTGGATGTCTCTTTCCTTTCGGCCCCTGCACCCTCAACGGCTCCTTTCTCTGAAGAATTCCTATCTCGTCTCGCACACTGCCGTCACCAGCCCCGTGTTAACACCGGCCTCTCTCAAGACACTCGAAAATCTCGCTACGACTCGTCTCGCCGTGTTGTGAGTTTTTCCCCTGGTGACGAAGTTCTTCTATGGACTCCACTACGCGTCCCCGGCCTATGCGACAAATTCATCAGTCGCTTCATTGGGCCATACACGGTGGTCGAACAGACATCTCCTGTCAATTACCGCGTTTCTCCTCTTAGCGCTAGTCCTGATCATCGTTGCCAAGGAACAGAGATAGTGCACGTATCTCGTTTAAAGCCTTATGCGCGACGCATTTCATAATACTGTCAAGCGACCAGGCGGCCGCTTTCACCGCGCGGGGGAATTAGTGTGAGCGCGACAAGCGAATGACTCTTTATTCTCTTTGTAATCATCATCACCTGTACATCTTCTTCATCTAAGAATATCATCACCAGCGTGATTGAGCTCGAGCCTGGCCGAATAAACCAGTTCCTCACAATATATATATATATATATATATATATATATATATATATAAAGAGAGAGAGAGAGAGAATTTTTATTGTCGCGATGCTGGCAGTGTTCAGAACCAATTGAGATTGCTTTGAGCGCTGTATACACAGACTTTACCATGGCAGAAGAACTCGTAATGTGTCCCGGCTAACATTGTTTGAAATGAAAAAGTAGTTCACGATTTATAGTACTGCATACTCTATTTTTTGTGTAAAAAAGGGGGGTAACGATTTAGAGTACAAGGTACTCTACTATGGGAGAGCATAAAGCCGTCCCAGGAAGTCCCACAGTGTAACTTAGTGGCGTGCGTTTCGTACGATACAGCAAGTGTATTTTCACTGAGGTCAAGCGACAAAACCACCACCCTATCTCTGACCAGGTAGCTGTAACTTGGCCTGATTGTCTCATCAAAACACTTTTTAAAACTTGAAATGTTGGTTTGTTCTTAATGTACTAAAGCATTAGCGTATTTGTTTTAGCCTAAATTACCGCTTACTGCCAATTTTGTTTCTGCATATAATAGTTTGAGCAGCGAACCGTCGAAGTGAATAGTTGATATATATGCAAGGTATAGGGTCTGTGGCATGTTAGCGCTGTGTGTATACGCGTGCCTCTATTTTTTGTCCTGTCTTTTACGTTCGCTACACGGAAATTTTCTGCAGCCTATACTTAGCCCTCCACTATGGCGTCTCTCATAATCAAATCGCTTTTGTAGGACGTTACACCCCAACAGTTGCAATAATAATAATAATAATAATAATAATAATAATAATAATATAATAATAATAATAATAATAATAATAATAATGTTATAATTATTGCACAAGTGCTAGTGTTGTTCCTGTTATTGTCATCGTAGCGCTTATGTTACACAAGGATGATCCTTTGCGTGACTTTCGTCTTTTCGAAAACTTGCCTTGTTGAGTTTACGTGCGCTGACTGCTTTAGGCACGATCGTATAATACTTATACTTTGCCAATAGTTTTTCTTCGCATTCGCTTAAGAATAGTCGGACTTCCATTAGAAAATGTTAACCCTTCGAGATAAAATCCGCGCAGTTGCGTGAGGGGGGCTTGCAACGAACTGTTTTTAATAAGGTGCAGTGAATGCGAGCCAGTTGGTTCGTATATCGATATGTTAAAAACGGCGCTAAATGTATACATGGTTCAGTCCTGGCACGACTTTGTCGCAATGCAGCCACACGTAAGTGCAGAAGCTAAAGAAGAGCGGCTACCCGGAGAGTCTGCTGTCATCGTTGGCTGAGCCCTTTTTAGTGAAGGTCCACGAAGGGACGTATCCGCCAAAGCCTTCAAGTGTCTAAGACTGCACTCTGGGAAAAAATGTTAGTAATCAGTTAGTAAAAGCGTTTGTTTACTTTTGCCGTCATTAACCAGGGAAACCTTCTTATCGCTTTTAATTAGGTATCTACTAAGCTACCAACGTTGCCAGATCAATCGTAGATGTCGCGGTATATTGTCGCGGCAAAATTTGGGCAAGCTTTATTTTATCGACTATACCTTCGAATAGAAGTTTCGTGCTACGTGGAGGCACATATTAAGCAAATATAAGGGCACACGGAGATGTGTAGAAAACATTCTATACTCCAATACATGGTGTGCAATCCCAATGTAGGGCACATATAGCCTTCAAGCTGCTGCTACAGTAGATATCATGCTGTGCCGAAGTCTTACTGTTTTGTGTGCGCATTTGCGCGCGGGTTCCCGCTTGCGATCCCTTCATGTGAGTTCTCATACCCGTATGATCATATGGTCATATGAACATGATCATATGGGAATGAGAAATCATATCACTATATGACCATATGAATATATGATCAGATCTCTTTGAGTATGTTGCTCTGATGCACACTTATCACGGTATAATTACATGATGTAGCTAGCAGCCGTTAATTAATGTACGAGGACAATGCCACTTCGTTTTTTTTTATCCTGTACTTTCGAAATAGAATAACCTTGATATGGCGACGCACTCGCACATATAACGATATAGGCTTAAACCTCTAGTTGCGGTGTTCCCAACAATCTAGTAATTCACTAACCATTCAACTCAGCTCAATTCACTTACTAACTAGGCAGTAAATTTCGCTAACCTGCATTTTACTACCTTCACTTACTAAGGGGCTAGTGCATTTTGTGACATGGGGACGGTTAGTATTTAGTTAGTGAGTATGCCGACCTTTTTTTTTGTTTTAAGAGTGTGCGGTGATTCCTTATGTGTGTTTCCCACCGAATCAATCGTAGGCTGCTGGGCGAGCGGGGTTCCATGTGGTATTCTCGGACCCCGACAAACTGAGCTCCCTATGCAAGAAGGTAAATGATACGGATCAAGCAAGTAAGTGGTGTGTGAAATAAAGCACGCGGAGAACTACGTCCCTTGCCGGTGTGAAGTTCTATACGAGATCGCGACAACCTATGGGAGTGCCTGTATCGGGCAGACAAACCGTTGCCTCAAGGACCGTCTGCGCGAACACGCCAACAAGCTCGGAGGCTAAGTGCTGTATACTAAGTGTGGCTACTTGCCACGCTTTCAGGAGACCCGGGTGCTGCGCACTTGCGAAGAGGCAGACTGTACGTGAAGTTTATAACCCTTTCGCGATGAAATGTAAAGATAAAGCGCGTTTCAGAGCGCCCTCGATTAATCTAGCTGACAAGAAGTGTCGCCATCTCCATAACCAATCTCTAATTTAGGATGACTGCCAGTTGGGCGTGTTGGTAAAGGTTCATGATGAGACAAGTGCAAAAATACGCGCACCCAGAGAGGACACAGACAAGCGCTTACTAGCAACTGAAAATTTTATTTCGAAGCGAACATTAATAAATACATCACACGCATGTACGTCATTCCCGACTTCCCCTGTCATCATCAACAACGTAATATAACAAAATATGCACGCGCCCACAATCGGAAACAAACACGTTTGTTTGTGTGGAAACGTGTTTGTTTCCGGTTGTGGGCGCGTGCATATTTTGTTATATCACCTTGTTCATGATAACAGGGGAAGTCGGGAATGACGTACATGCGTGTGATGTATTTATTAGTGTTCACTTCGAAATAAAATTTTTGGTTGCTAGTAAGCGCTTGTCTGTGTCCTCTCTGAGTGCGTGTATTTTTGCGCTTGTTTCATCATGAACCAATCTCTCATGGTTAAACAATAATATGCCGCTGGACGCACGCGCTGCCAGAACATTTTTCCCCGCGTTTTCCGTTTCGATGTATACATGTATACAATACGCCAAGTAGCTGGCAGTCAGCGCTGGTCCTGTATGAAGTCTTGTCCGTGTTTACTTCGCGCTCTTCTTAATTATGAACTCTCTTCATAAGGAGAGAGAGTGAAAGACGGCCACACGTAAGAGCACAATCGCGCCTATAGGAGGGTGCCAGTCGCGTCCGGCGCCGTGGGCGGCGGGAAGGACGCGTGGCGCCTCGACCCGTCTCGCGGAATCGGACGATGTCAAGTTCGGCCTCGCTCTGCGGGTGCGTGAATCAGCGGCCCGACTGTGCACAAAGGCCGCGCGGCGACGCCTTCTAGGAAAGAAGCGCCCGAGCGCGATTCATCTGATTTCCGGAACGTCGCAGTGGAACCGCCGCGTCGGCGGCCGCCAGCGGCAGTTCTTGCTTTTTTTCTAATCGTTTCTCGAGGCAGAAAAAAAGAAGTAATTAATAAAGATAAGGCATGAAAGTGCGGGTGACCGTGTCGCATCGCTGTGAATTCTGAGCACTTGTAACCGCAGCAGCCTCACACCGTCCCAAGTACCGACTGCGGCGAGCACAAAGACATGACGGCTGCAGATATGCGTATGCAACGTATACTATGCACGTGCAACACGATCGCTCTACGCGCCCTACAACCTGTACACCAGGTGCCCACGTGCACTTCGTGTGGTCGCTCTGACTCAACTGTATGCATGCAGTGTGTGCAGATGCATCTGTATATAGTCCGTTGGCATGAGTGCGACGACGTTAAAAGTGTATTTCTTGGCGAAGTGTAATACGACTTTGCCAAGAGATGTCTCCCATTTCAAATATATAGTATCTTGTAGATCACAACCATGCATGATCGATGACTTGTGCTATTTGAGCCCCGTTTCTATGAAATTCAATTCACTTGCGAGCAAGACGACTGCTCATCAGTGTTTTTTTTTTTCTTTCGCGGTTTCTTGTCGTCATCTGCGCTGTTTGCTTTCTTCAAAGATGTGCCAACAGCTTACGTCGCGAACCGCCTCTTATAAAGCGTAAATAACGTCTTCGTGGCCCGAGCATGGGTGGTTTTTTCGCCGTCCCCGCGTGCAATCTTCTTCGCGAACATTGAGACCGTAGTTAATAAATATAAGAGGTAATGTGGCGGCGGATATCCTTTCAAGCCAATTTAAGAGAAGCGCAAGTGATTATTTCGTTGTTGCATACGTGCTCGTTGCTCGTATCTGAACTGTACTTGCCTCCTCTTTGAGAGTTGTTTGTTGTACGTCCGTTAAGTTAATTACTTTTCATAAATTGGCTTGCTATGCACAACAACAATTTTAACTGTAGTATGCGCGAAGGTCGCATATTAGTACCGCGTTTTACTTTCTCGTAATTAGCTTGGCACGATATAGTTGTGGACACGGTGCATTATGTTAGGAACTACACTGTGGCATTTCCAGTTCTTATCTGTATACTTCCTAACAGGAGCCGCAAGGTAGATACAACTGGTAGCGAAGGCTCCGTAGAAGCCCATACGTGCACAAAAATGGCGGATCAGCTGCTCACGGGGCTTAGCGCCATCTCTGTGAACAGGAAGTACTTCCGGTGGAACAAGAAAATAAAACGGATGTGACGCAATAGTTGGTAAACAAGTGACGTTGTTTCGTGTGTGCTAGCGCGAAATTTGATCTCAAATTACTTTTCGTAAGTCCTTGATCCCTGTGGACTGGCGCTAAGGCAATCGCTGGCGAGTCCTTCGCAAGTGCCTTTCGGGTCAACGCCAGCTAGTTTAATACCAACTTATGACTAGGTAGTGATGTTTAAGTGCACTACCGTTCACTTTGCCTTGGTTTTGCAAGAGAACTCGTTCTTCAAACGTTTATTTGGTGTTCGGGGCATCTCCCGCAAATATATTAAAGCAACCAACAGCGTATACCTGTCATATGTGCAGCGTTGGTTATTTGTTTCACACATACACATGTTCTTTAGCATAAACAATGTTTGTGTCCTTAAGTTTTAGCACCAACCCCGCCGTGGTGGTTTAGTGGCTAAGGTACTTGGCTGCTGACCCACAGGGCGCGGGTTCGAATCCCGGCTGCGGTGGCTGCATTTCCGATGGAGGCTGAAATGTTCTAGGCCCGTGTGCTCAGATTTGGGTGCACGTTAAAGAACCCCAGGTGGTCTAAATTTCCGGAGTCCTCCACTACGGCGTCTCTCATAATCATATAGTGGTTTTGGGACGTTAAACCCCACATATCAATCAATCAAGTTTTAGCAAGAGTTTTAGAGAAGAATATTAGGAGCGTGCCTTTCCATGGAGGGCAAAGGCTGCGCTGAATAAGAACAGCGTTGACAGAGGGCGCTAGAAAAAAAATAATTTTTGTAATAATGAAAAATGTCTTATAATCTTTGCTATTACACCTACATAATGTTGTTGGAGGAAAGAAATGTCATTTGTAAAAAGAAACATAGCGATTACTTAGACTTTGAATCAAATTTGGTTTTTCAATAAAAGTGTTTCTTTTCTACACGCATAGTCGCGCTTCAATCACAGCTCCCACAGCCCCCCCCCCCCCCCCTCCTATGCTGATATCGTTAGCAATAACTTCTGAACCGCTTTTTAAGCCCGAACTTTCGCGACCTGTTTGAATAGGCCTCGGGAACCGTGTCACACGTCCCGCACAGCGCAGAGTTCTTGCGTGCCAACATAGCAGACCGCATGGCGGTGCCGGCGCAAAACGGAGGTTTTTGTGCCCGAGGAACGACTCAAAAACAGGCGCAGGCAGCAAGAGCTGTGACGTGCACCGATGCTGCAGCTTCGCCAAGCTCGTCATTCTGCTCGACCGCCGAAGCTTGGTTTTTTTTTTTTTTCTGTCAGGAGCTTCGCGAAAGGGCTGCGTGAAACCTGGTCCTATGTGTGCACATAGCCCTTATCCTCGACGCTGTGATAACACGGGGTTTTGCTGTAAACAAAGCCTTTGCTGAGGCTTCGGTTGTAGCACTTTCCCGCCGGCCACTTGTGTGCCGCTCAGTGCGTCGCGGCTGTTTAAGTGGCGCCGCCTGGAAAACCGCGACGCGTGCATCCAAAGTGAACAGAATCTTATCTATTTAGCTTGATCGAAAAACACTGCGTCGCTAGCTTGCGAAGCACGGCTTGTAACGTGGGTAGTTGCACGTCCCCGGCAGTCCGGAATTGCGAGACCTGTTTTCAAAGAAACCTCATAACACACTTTTCTCAAAACTTCAAAAAAAAAGATGTTTTTTTTTTCCTAATTTTTGACGCTTGGCATGTTTGGATACTGAGGAACATGAATATTCCACTTTGATACTTAATTTAGCATCGAAATGCCGAACTTTACGTCTTTTTCATTACCAACGTGGTGAAATATGTATTTCCATCATGCAGAATAAAAACTGTTTTTGTATGATAAATTTACGCATAAAAAGATTTGATTTGTGGGGATTAACGTCCCAAAACCACCATATGATTATGAGAGACACCGTAGTGGAGGGCTCCGGAAATTTCGACCACCTGGGGTTCTTAACGTGCACCCAAATCTGAGTACCCGAGCCTTCAACATTTCCGCCTCCATCGGAAATGCAGCCGCCACACCCGGTTACACATAAAAAGAGACTCAAAATAGAATGTTGAGCTTTGCCCATGGATGATCGTTTTGCTTGCACGTATACGTAAGTACATGAAAGCCGAAGCGATGCGATGCATCGTGAGTAAGACTCGTTGTGCCTATATATACTGAAACTAGTATACCATTCTGACCGCTTCTCGGCATTTCTGATAACGTGTAGGTTTTTTTTATTTTTGTATACATATAGCGCAAAGGGGAACTCTTCTAAAATGTTACTGTCGCTTCTTTCAATTCCATTGAAGAGGGTGCACTTAAGGATACCTTTGTATACCGTCAGCTTCAACTCGTTGAATGAGCAGGCGTCCAACCACGCAAAAAGATATGAAGTAGCGTGCGGCCCGCAAGGCTCGCAGAGGCCCTTTGCGATGTCTCCAGCGTGCTTTAGCGTTTTCGGGGGACAAACGCTATTCGAAAACTCATATGGTGCCCCTACGCAAACGCTACGCCCGCAACGCCCGCTAACTCAGCGTACGCTGTTCGAAAACTTCCT